AGATAGTGGAGATTGGGATCACCCTTTGAAGCTTATTTGTCATGCCTAAGCGGCCACGTTCAAATTCCACATATTAAGATGCAGGCAGGTAGGGTCTGGATTAGGTATGGTGGCCAAATTGTTAAACCGTGGAATCAAGCTTTGTCCACTTTGATCAAAGATAAAGTGGCATTTGCCGGTCCGAAGTGACACTTGCAGACGATAGCACAGCGACGAGCAGGCAATAACGGACAAGCAGGATCGAGACTAATATAAGGGAGGCGTGAATGGTCATGTGCTTATTGATGTCGTCCATCACCTATACTGCAAACCTATTCCCGGATAAACTGGGATTTGGGTTTAGGGTACAATTGTTTTTAAGGGCAACCGATTTCCAGGAATATTTAATCAGAAAGTAAATCAGAAAGAAACAGGTGTGGTAGTTTAAGAAGCAGGAGCAGGCATTTGGTCTGTCTGACCGACTTACCGCTTCAACACAGACGGCCTTGCACTGGGCGCCGTTGAAGTCGTCGGTGCAACGCGCAAGTTCTTCGAAGTTCACATCCTCACTAGAAAACAGGCAGACATATCCAGTCGATGAGAACAGCGAGGGGAAGAACATGGATGTTGGGCATGTAGGTGAATAACACAAGTTTGCACTCGGGTGGTGAGAAAACATGTTTCAAAAACTAATCAAGTAGATGTTAAAGGAGAAGCGGCTGACGGCAGGTCACATTAGGGACGTATTCAGATCACAACAGCCTCCAAAGTTTTTCTTGTAATGAGCTTACGTTGGGGATTTTCTGTCCACAAAATTGGAAGATGCAAACAGTATCAACACACGCGTAGCCCTAGGGCATTTACTACCCCTTTGAGGGTGCGCGAATAATCGCTCACCAGGGACCTGCGTTTTGTATGCCTTACTATTTGCAAAATGCGTGGAACACCTGTTCCTCAATACATTCTCATGATCTTCTGCAATATGATACAGGAAGATATAGTGAAAGCCGCGGATAACGAAATGTGCCCGAAACAATTAAAATGTTTTGCAAGTAAACTTGACATTTTTAGCTATTAGAAGACACGTAGAATAGAAATTTGAAAAAAAACACTCAAGTAATGACTTTTTTACAAATGCAAAATATTTTATTGGTCAGACAGAAGCTTGAAAAACAAATTACTTTCTCATACAATAAAAAATATTTTCTATCAATTATCTATTTAACACCTCCACGCGGAGCCTTTACTCAATCGTAGTTGTCTGAGACAGGAAACTAAGACAGGCTGACCATCATATTTTTACTGACACCAAGAGGGTTTTTGAGACCGTGAGCCAACTTCTCACATAATTTGGAGTTTGAGTTGAAATTGAATAAAGACTGGAGGCAACTACCAAGCGCCAAATGATGAAATCGGAAGACCCGCTGCCACAGCAGGAAGCCTCTAGAGTCATTTAACGGATCCAATCTGGTCGTGGACAAAACGTCCACGTAGAAGAAAGCGGAATACCGTTCGGGAGACGATGGCCCGATATGCAGCAGTAGCGGCAGCAGCAATGAGGTAAGTTTGCAAGTTGTGACTTATCAACGAGACCTCTTTATACAGAACATTTCAAGGA